CCTGGAGATTGTTGGGTGATTTGTGGCTCTTCACTCTCCCTTGATGACCAGGCAGAGGTTTGCAGAGGTCTGGAAACCGGCTCCCCAGCTACAGACCTGATTCAGGGAGGAACTTAGATGCCCCCGTAAATGTGTTTTCTTKTGTTCCATGCCTGAGTTCAGTGGAGCCAGCATTTCGTCCATCTCCCAGAAGTTCAGCCATTTGGCTTTTGCCAGGTCTCCTTTACCTTCCTTTCTTTCATTAATGTTTTTACTTTAAAACTCCTAACATGGGTCTTTAATTTAGATGCAGCTTCTGCCGGGCTTTATGCACACCCTTGCCTAAATGTTCCTTGYCATCAACGACAACCCAAATCTGCCATTGAACCTTTCCAGAACCGAGTCCTAGGCTATGACATCCAACAGGAGAGAAATCTACCCCAATTTCTAACTCACTTGAACTCAGCAGTCCAAGGTCACTCCACGAGCTCTCCGCTGTCATTCAGTGTCCAGATTTTCCATCCGTTTYGGTGCAATTTGCCCTTGCAGTGGCCGGCTGGGGCTGACTGCCCCAAGTGGTGGACCTGTTTCCTTCGGAGCGCTTACAAAGAGGATGGTTTAAACGTGTCCATGTTCCCGATGAATGGAGTAGGCTGTCAGGCCCCTGTGAATCCCCAGCTGCTCTCGTTCTGCTCCTTTGTAAGAATAATCACCCTTYTGGCCCTGGTGCAGCCTCCCAGGGTGTTATTAATCACCCGAAGCTCACTGGGGATAAGTAAGTGCCGGGGGCTCTGGCGTTTAAACCGCTCGCCTTGAGCCATTGTGTATCTTAGCATGAAGCTTGCAGGCCTGGGTCGAAAGTGTTTAACTTACCAGAGTGCTCTCTAGCTTGCACTTCCCCTGCTCTCGCCTCTTAGTTTTGATTAAAATTGCTGTTTAATTGTGAATTGCATTTGCAGGAAGCCTTCTCAATACTATCTGTCAGTAGGCCCTTTGGGCTCAGTGAGCAAGCCCTTTCCTTCCAGCTTCTCAAGCTCCCAGCCTGCTTAAAATGACATTGGTTACCCCTTTATAAGGAGTCTTTTCGTTAGGAAAATATGCTATTTTATTTTCAAACTGAGAGTTGAAATAATGATGTCTTAAAATATCAAATATCTCGGTATTAATTGAAAGAAGAGATTATGGCATTGCCTTTGAGTTTTCCTGTTAGYAACATGCCTCTCATTTTAAAATTAGTTTAGGTAAGAAAGTAATGACAAAGAGGTGAAGCTGTAGATCTTTCTACTTACGTTGTTTTAAGAAGCGGAGTACATATTTTAGATTTTTATATTTATTTCTCGTTTCTGTTTTTCTAGCCCATAAGAGCAGGTTAAAATGCAAAAAKAAACCTGCAAAAAGTAACAATCTTGCCTTATTAGCCAAATCTTTGGGAACTGATTTTACAAGCGTGGCATTGAAAAATAAGCACTTGCTCCCTGCCTATAGCCTTGTSGAGCACCGAAGTTGGCAAGCGTGTCTGTCTTTGAAAGCACATGTAATCTGGGTAATATATATGTTGTGTCCAAATGTATGGCCTGAAATATAGTCATTTCAAACCCAGCTATAGYTAGCAATTACTGTTTGTCTCGCAGGAGGAGAGAAAAGGGCTCTGACGGGCAGGGTGCCCTACAACTGCACGGAGGCTCTCGGAGGGTCACGGGCTGAGTGGATCCTGAAAGCTCGGAGTTTATCGTGCTGTCCCAGGCAAGATTGATGGGATTCCTGAGAGATGTTTGTCTGCCCACCTCTTAAAAGCCTCCAGAAATGGAGGCTCCTCAGAGCTTCCCAGGGCAATTTATTCTCGTGCTTTCCTGCCCTTTTGTTAGAAAGTGTCCCCCTCCAGGCAGTGTTTTACATGAATTTCCCTTATTGCAGTGGAATTATTCCCTTATTTCTTGGTGTAATGCTGAGGTGAACATGGAGCAATGGGCACAGGACCGCTCGGCCCGGGCACTTTCAGCCTCCTCCGTGCTGTGCCTGGCCATGTTCAGCTTGCCTCTCCTGCTGGTGATGAAAACCATGCTGTTTGTTACGGAGAGAGCCAAATAGACTCCACTGTCGTCTCTTCTGCTTTCCAAACTGCACTCATCATTGTGGTCACCAGCTGCTTCAAACATCTAAATGTTTCTTTTCCAACACAGTGTTTCTCCAAGTATTTTCTAACTTTATCTGCAAAATTACAACTGTTTCGAGTGGTTCCTTCAGTTTGTTTGCTGCAGTTGTCTCTCAGAGCACGTGGCTGTCAGGTCCCCCGGGTTTCTTCGGCGTTCTGGTCTGGAGAAGAGCTCTGCTTGCAGGTGAGCTGTTATTTTAAGTGCTGCCAGGGCTGTGTGAGCCTGTCGTAGGCACAGGGTGCAGCCCAAAGGGCCAAGCAGGCTCTGCTGTAGCCCCACGGTGCCTTTCCTTCTGGGCTGCCACGAAGCTGAACCTTGGCTCATGGTCCAAGCACCATCCTTCCCTTTGGAAAGAGTCCATTCTGCCCATTTAAGTGATCCACGGGTGTTTGCCATGTCCCAAATGGGTATTTATTAAATGCCCAAATGGGCCTATGTGTTTTTCTTTTCATTTTTTCCCCGCCCTTGGAGTCAATGAGAAAAATCCCCCTGACTTGCGGGATCTCCAAAGACGATCTCTAACTCATGAGGTTACTAAAGATGTTCCGCACATAATTTCTCAGCAGCTCTTGCTGTTCTTGATTCATAGGATTCCTGTGAAACTTGCATAAAAAGAAATGAGAACTGCTAACCAYAACATGCCCTTCTAATTAACTAAATTTTTCAAATCCGATTTAATTCCTCCCCAGCTGAGCGCCAGACAATAATCTCAGCACTAGAAAATAATCTTGTCTTTTTTCAATTAGAGGTCACTTTTTTCTTTTTTCTTTTTCTTTTCTTTTTTAAGAAATGTGCTGCAGCAGAAGCGGATCCCCCTACGCACGATGCTGTTTGGTCTCCCTTGCGTGCCTCAGGATTTACACTTAGGGCATGGATGTGACRAGAGGGAATTCAGTTTTGTGCCAGTTTGTGCTTGTCGGCAGTGCCGGCGTTGGCCAATAAATCCCGGCGCTCCCTCCGTCCTCTTCCCCCTTGTCCAGAGGGCCCGGGGGCCATTTGTTTGGCCTTGCCCCTCTCCTCTCTCCATTCTCCCTTCTCATTCCTCCTCCTTATGCCAAATAGGTGACTTTTCTGCTCATTGAGACCTAGAACCTCTCCTGGGTTTTTCAAAGCGGGGTGTTTAAAGCTGACCCAAAGAGGGAATTTCAAATGTTTCCCTTGTCAGCCACAGRGCAGTTTTCCGGGAGCGCTGAAGAAGGCGGAAGACTCCAGCGTTGGGAGAATCCCACTGGGTGTGAGGCTTTGAAACCCGCCACGGAGGCAGGGGGGAAGGAACCACGGCGCAGAAATRAGGGCAAACAGGAGCAGTGACAGAGCGAAGAAAACCCGCTCTGCCTCCGAACGGAGCTGGTGCTCGGCGTGGCCACAGAAGCGGAGCTGGAGAGAAGRTCGTTGGCACCTCCTGGTGGTAAGCTTAAAAAGTCCTGAAAAATTATCCAGATCAGCTGTAAGGACAACGTTAGAATGATATAATTGTGATATAAGTTGGGTCAAAATAGCCCGTAGTGAGGCCACTTCCCTAAATCTGTGCCTTAGAGGTATGAGAAATATGTGTCAATAAAACATAACTCGAGAGTTAAAGCTCTTYGTGTTGCTTTGGATTCAAAAATATGCCCGCAACAAGTGTGCTTTTCTTTTGAAAAGCCAAATTTCCAAGAAACCGGCCTGAATATTTGTATTTTTGACACACGTTTTGCGAGGSAGCCGAGAGAGACCAAGCACCGCGGGGAACACGCTCGTGTGAGCGAGCACCAGTGAGCAGAGCAGCCTCTCGCAGTGTTTCCCTGCCGTAGCMGTGTCTGGGCACTCTTTGTCCATCCCCAGACAGCCCCATCCCACCGTTTTCCCCTCAAAACCGCTAGATGGAGGCCCTGTCTCGCCAGCTGGAGCAATCGCTGGAGCAAGCGGATCCAGATGTCGGAGCTCTCTGTGCTGGGAACGAAAACGGGACAGTTTGGCTGTCTCTTTTGCGCTCCTGGAGCGGTGGAATGAGGTGGAAGGATTTGTCCCATGAGTTTAAAACATGCATATAAAATATACGTATTAATACTGCTTTTATGGGAAGCCCAGAGCTTTCCCACATGGACTTGCCGGCGATGCCGGTTCCCTCACGGTGCCGGTGAACTCATTTGTCCCGGGGGCAATTTCAGCCACCGAGGCCCTGCTCTTAGGGGAAAGCCCCAGCACAAAGTGCCTTTTATGGGAAGCCCCCCGTGCTTTCCCCAAATCTCTCAGAGTTGGGGGATGCGGCTGGTGCTGGGAGCGGTGAGGACAGGGACGAACTCGAGGGCTCTCCCGTGTGAGTTGTCGAGAGGACACCCGGGTTCATCAGTTCCACAGTGACTTTTAATAAGCAGAGGAAAAAATTGGAAGAAACGGGTTTTATTGAAGGACAGGACAAAACCCCCAAATGTATCTACTAACCGTTGGTGTGAATCCCGAGGTGCTCTACCCTGTACGTTGCAATCTCCCCTGAATTGTTACATGCAAAATCCCACGGGTCAAGTCCTATCCTGTTGGTATTCTCTATCCCTATGAGTATGTAGGTGGATATTTGACTCTCTCCTTTCTTTTCCCCTTCTCTAGCAGTGGCTCAAGTGTTTTCTGACCTTCCCACAGTTGGCTATTCCGGAGGGCGCTGAGAAATCCCGCGGGCAGCGCGAGCTCCGTGCGTCTCAGCACCGCCCCGGGCTTTAACACCAGCGCCTGTCCCTGCGGATCAAAGGTGAGTCCCCCGGAGCCCCCGCTGCCGCTTCCCACTCGAGCTAATTCACCCGCTTCACCCAGGGGCAGCCCCGGCGCCCGCGTGCAGGGAACCAGGAGCGTGGGCGCGGGCTGCTCGGCCGTGGGTCTCTCGCCGGGTGCCGGCTACTGTCCGGCAGGCGCCGGGCCCTGCGCGCGGCCGCCCCGCACCTCGTCGCGCAGCAGCCGCAGCCGCGACAGCACCACGTCCCAGTCGGCGTAGGCGCCCTCCAGGCAGCGGCCGCCCGCGCGCCCCGGCTCGTAGCCCCGGCGCCCGTGCAGCAGCCGCCAGTTGTCGAAGGTCAGCACGTCCCCTGCGAGGGGGAAAGAGGAGGAGGAAGAGGATGTGGTGGTGAGGCCCCGGGCGCGGGCCCCGCGCACCCACCTGGCTCCAGCTTGAAGGTGACGACGTGCTCGGGGTGCCGCAGCAGCTCGTCGAAGGCGCGCAGCGCCGCGTAGAAGGGCCGCACGTGCTCGGGCGCCACGTCCAGCACGGAGGCGCGCGTCGCGTTGTTGTAGTTGATGCGCACGGGCTCGCCGCGGGCGTCCACGCTGCGGGACGAGCCGCAGAGCGGCGGCGTGGGGCGGCGTGGGGCGGCGTGGGGCGCCCGCCACGCTGCCCCTACTCACTCGATGATGCGCTGCTTGCAGTGCACGGCGAAGTCGCAGTAGTCGGTGCCCGTGTCGGCATAGTCCACAGCGGTGGCCGCGAGCAGGCGGAAGGCGTCGGGGCTGCGCTCGCGCAGGCGCCGCGCCACGTGCAGCCCGTCCACGAGCTCGCTCTCGCCGCCCGCCGCCGCCTGCTCGATGCAGTGCAGCAGCTGCACCTGCAGCCGCAGCGCTCAGCGCCCTGTACCACTGCCCKCCCCCGCGCCCGCGCCCGCGCCGCCTCCTCACCCCCGGCGGGTGCTGCAGCGCCGGGTAGTCCGTGTGCAGGGGCAGCCGCCCGCTCGTGTAGGCCACGTTGTTGGCGTCCGCCTTGTCCTGCACCAGCCACGTGGGCCTGCGGGGCAGAGGGGGTTGCTTGGAAAAACCTCCTCGGAATGGGGGAATGGTTTGGGTGGCGGCGTGAGGGCAGCTGGTCACGGGAACCCTCGAAAGGGCTTTTGCTGCTGCCAGGAGCAAGCAGCCGGGGGAGAAATCCCATGGGCATCAATAGCGGAGGCAAGATCACCAACTACGGGATTTCCTTTATGGTGCCTCTAGCAGTGGCTGGTTTGGGAAGCCCTCTGAGCCTCGCTCCCTAGCTGTTTTGGACCTGTTTATCATGCTGCCACTTCATGAGAATCCAGATTAAAGCACCTGGATCTGTTGGGGTGCCCTCAATGCGTAAAGATRCCCTCCAGGCGAGCTCACAGAGCCGCAGGGCTGCGGGAAGCAGGGCTCGCGGGGCCCGGCAGCGCCCTGCCCTGCTCCCGGGGCCGTGGCGGCAGCGAGGCCGCAGCGCGCGCTCACCCGTAGAAGGTGAGGCGCAGGAAGCCGAGGCGGCGGCCGAGGGCGAGCAGGGCGCCGGGCCGCGCGGGCGCCCCGCGCAGCAGCACCACGCCGGTCTCGCGCAGGGTGCGCAGCCACGCGTAGGCGCTGCCCGCGTCGCGCAGCACCTCGTCGAAGGGCAGCCGCGGCAGCTCCAGCTCCGAGCCCCACCAGCGGCGCTCTGCGGAGGCAACGCGCCGCCGTGAGCGCCGCCGCGCACCCCGCGCCGCGGCTGTGCGCACACACTGCGGCCGTGACAGAAAAGAGCTGCCGAGGTCCCGTGAGACCCATTGCTACCCCTCCTGTGCCCCTGCGAGCTCCGGTAACCCTGAGGACTAGTCTGTGACCTCAGGTGACCCTGGGGGCTCTTTTTTGGGGTCCCCTTGGCCTCTGGTAACCCCGTGGGCGCTTGGGTGGCCCCAGGTGACCCCAGGGCTCTGCTCCTTGTCCCTGTGCCCGTGCACGGCCCCAGGTGTCTTTGGGCAGCGCCGCAGGGTCTCTGGCCGCCTTGTTTGACCCCAGCTCTTCCTGCCCGCACCAAGTCCTCGCATCCCTCCAGGCCCGGCTCTGGCCCCTCTGCTGCTCTGGGGTCTCTGTCTGTCCCATCCTGTCCTGTCTCCAGTGGGTCCCTCGCAGCTCCACGGTGCCATGGCTGCCGCCCCGCGCTGGGCTCCAGCGCTGCCTCCTCTGGAGCTCCCTTGGCCAGTGTGGGTGATGCGCAGACCCCAGAGTCGCCTCCRGAGCACCATGGATGCATCTCCTGCTCGAGCCCCCGGGGCTGGCGGGTGACTGTGGAGCTGCTCCGAGCCATGGGGTGTCCCAGGGCGATCCCCGGGCGCGCTGCCTGCACCTTGCCAGTCCGTACGGCMCGAACAGCGTCACCCGCCGGCACGCTGAACGGGGGCACGAGCTGTGTGGAGCGATCCCCTGGGGCCGGTGCCAAGGTGTAAACGTGCACAGGGGGGCTGCGCCAGCCCCCCGCCTGCCCCTCTGCCCCGCTGCACCCGAGGGGCCCTACGCTGGAGGGCACTGGGGTACAGCAGCTCCCTGCGAGCTGAGAGCTGCTGCGGGTCACCTGCCCGCCACAGCCTCGTGTCCGTGGGGCTGCGGGAAGGGACCGCGGAGCTGCTGCTCCCGAGGGCCCACACGGCTTGGAGACGCCCTGGGAACACGTGACGTTTAGCTCCCCGTGCTCCTGCTGCTCTCTCCAACCAGCGTGCAGTTGTATGTACGGCATCATGCACATTTATTTTTATTCTTATTCTATTATTGTAATGAATTGCTTCTTTTGCCAGAGAAATCTTAGTGTCTAATTCCAACCTACTGATGCYAGGGCCGCTGAAGGGGGTTCAGGCTCTAACTTCCAGCAGTCAGGAAAGCGGGAAAGCAGCCACGCCAGGGCTGAGAGCGCTGTTGCGGTGCACAGGGGTTAAGATCTKCCCCCACCCGTTTTTAGGAAAGGGTTCCCTAGAGAAGCCCACGGGAAGCGGCCACACGAGACCTGTGGCTCTCACCCYGTGGAGCCCCGGGATGCAGCTCCCGAAGGGAATCACGGCTCCCRGATCCCCTGCCCGACCGCGTCCCGTGGCCAACGGAGGCCGCCGAGGGCTGCAGCTGGGCCGCGAGCCCCGCGCGCGTCCTACCTGGCAGGAAGAGCTCGCTCTGCACGCGGGCCCTGGCGGCCTCGGAGAAGCAGCGCGCCCGCAGCCACGCGCCCTCGTACTCGCTCGCGTGCCCGTCCGGCCAGGTGACGCGGAGCTGCGGCAGCGCCGTGAGGAGCCCGCGCGCAGCCCGCCGCAGCACCGCGAGCCCGCGGCCCCTGCGCCCCGGCTACCTTGTCGCCCGGCGCCAGGGCCGCGTGGCGCGCCGCCACGTCCACGTCGAGCTGCTCCAGCGGCAGCGCGCGCGCCTGCGCCGAGGGCAGCAGGCAGCGCGGGCAGCGGCAGTTGTCGCGGAGCCACACGCACGGGAAGCGGCTCTCGGAGCCGTCGGCCCAGCGCACGCGGAGCTCGCGGCTCCCCTCCACGGCCTCGGCCTCCTGCATCGCTGCCGCTCCGCTCAGCCCCACAGCCTCCCTTGCCCCCATGCCGCCCACGGACTTTGGACCCGCCGGCCCCTCTCCAATGAACAGTGCAGGCCGGGAGGCTTTGGAGAGCTCCATGGAGCATCCGCGTCCAAATCCTGCGCGTTGGCAGCGCTCGGTTCCTCTCTGCCCTTTGCCCTTCTCTTGTTGTGCAGCCGCCTCAGGGCTTTTTGCAGGAAAGCTCTGGCCAGGGACACCCTGCAGCCTGTCTCCTAACACACATGCACGTGCTAGTTCCAAAGTATTTCTCAATCCCACTGTGAAACTGCTAACTGTGAAAATACAAGCACCACAAGGCTGGCCGGAGCTTCATGGAACAATATTCCACTATGGGTGACTGGGAAAACATGGTGCGCTTTAGGATTTCCTTAGGATAAAGGCGACTTTGTCTACCTGCTTTGAAGGAAGGGTGTTCAGCAAGCACTGGAGCACAGCGAGGGCTTCCAATATGCCGAAACTTTAGGAGATCTGGTGGCCAAATAGAAATGCAATTCAGCAACGCGAGCCCTTCAGCAGGGCTTGAACTTTTGCCCCGCGTGCACTTTGACAGCGTAGCTCTGCTCAAGGCAGYGGCTGGCTCGATGACACTGGGACAGATCCAAAAGGGCCTTTAAGCAACCAAGACAGAACCGAGAGGAAACGGGGACCGCGGTGACACGAGGGCGCGGAGGCGGCCGTGCCACCCGGCTTCGGCCCCACGAGCTACTGAGCCCCTGCAACGCCAGGATCAAGTTTTGTGTCCTGGCRGGGGATAGGGGACAGCAGGGCTGTTGTCCTACGGATATCAGGGCTGTATCCCAGGGATATCAGGTGCAGCTGGGCCCCTCCTGAAGAGAAGTGCCAGCGCTTGAAGTGGCAGGATAAATACCCGTCCCAGGGAGACTTGTGCCCCTTGAGCAGACCCAGCGCAGCCACCCCATGGAGCTGCTCCCGGGACRTGGCGCTGTGGCCTCCGGGTCGCCCTCTCTTTCCATCTCAGCTGCTTCCCGGTGTTGTCCAAGCTCATGCATGTGCTTTGGAGCACCACGTGCCTCTCAGGTCTGTGCCTATGTGATTGCTCACCTTTCTGTCATGTATGCTTTARTATTTTCTAAGGGGAAGGTGCAGGTAAGTAGTTACAAACAGTTAAATGCTACGTGTATTTTATGTGCTCTAGTGAATTGGGGCCMAAAGAAAAATCTGAAGCCCGTGTCTGAGGTGAAAATGAAGAGCAGTGTTTGGATAGAGGCTCTGTAATTGTCCAAAGGTTTGTGAAATCCTTATTGTAGCTTCTTATGTAGCTTCTCTACATGAACTAATTTCTTTTTCCATAATGTAAGAATATTTTTATTTTCTTGGCTTCTGGCACAAACCCGAGCAGAAGTGACCCAGCAGGAGCATTGCAGCCAGGTGTCCCCAACTGCCTCTCAGGCACAGGTGAGCTGGATGTCCTGTCCCTCTGGATGGGTCTCATGGACTAAAGCTTCCAATGGTGAGCCCTAGGGAAATGGGACTCACCTTGCTGGGCAAACTACCCCAATTACCTTTGGTCTCTGCTTTTTGTCTGCCTGGAGAGGTGMGTGTTGGGTTTCTCCTGAAAATATCTGGGCAATATCTGTTTTCCTCCAGCTGCTGGCTTCATATACACCCTTAACTGCTATGGGTATGCTGGCATCCTGAAGGAGAAGGATTGCTGTCACAGGATATTTTTATTTTCTTTGAACAAATTTAAAATGTTGGCTGCTTTAGTAGGGTAAAACTGCTTGGCAAATGTAGCATGTATCTACTGAGAGCTTTGGGAGCTTTGAAGTGTCTTTTTACCCCTAATGAGTAAGTGTTTATGCAGTATGACAACGAAAATGAGGTAGGCACATCCTGCAATTTCCAGTGATAAGAAAATACATAGAAAAAAGCCAGGTTGTAGGAGATGGTTTCAGGTAGCTAAAAATGACTGGAGGTGAATAATAAATGATATCGAAGTCAGTTGTTGAATTGATGTTAAAGACACTTYTATGACTTTCTAATTTTCTTTCCAAAAGCTGTTTGTGTGTTGGAATTTCAGTCTAAATACCTCCTGAGTTRGAGCAAGGGGTTTGCCACAGTGCCCTGTCTTCTTTAATAACTTTCTACTGGGTGTTAAATGGATTAAAAATCCTAATAAAAAAACTGAAGGAAGCTAGGAATATCTGACTGCCAATTTGTCATTAGAAATTCTGTCTAGAGCTTTAGAATTGGTGCATAATTATATTTTCAGAAGCGCTCTTGTTGGAACACCTAACCACAGAGGCCAGATTTGCRTCTGGCAATCACACTTCAGCTGGGCATTGCAGAACAAACTTTCCAAAGGGTTAAGTTTATTTGAAGATGGAAGAAATGAGAAAAGGGGTGAAAATTTGCATGCTACTTTGTCATGATTCAGGGAATTGAAGCTCCCTCAGAAATTCCAGGGAAAAGAAACCAACTTTGGTGGCTGTAGCTCTTGAGAGCTTTTCCTGCCTGTCTGTTGGGTACTAAAAATGGAAATAGAGCAAATTCTTACATTTATAAAACTAGCTTCCTCTGTATTGGTGACTTCATTTTTTTTTTCTTGACTTGGTATTTTTTGCTATTGGAATATATTCTCAATTTCACACCTGAAAGTGTTTGTATGACCTGATCCCTGACTAGGGGCAGAGACACCTGCAGTGGGCCAGTGTGACCCTTCAGGGATGTGGCTGTGTGTTTTGCTCTGGAGATGCACAGGTGAGGGCAGTTGAAAAGAATTTATTGCTATTTCAAAACCTGTTTTGGTCTGTTTGGTAGTTGACTGCTTTTTGGCTCTTGAGGAGGAAATTAAGCCCAAATGTCGAAAGTCCTTTTCTGTGGAGAAACTACCAAGGAGAAGTTTTGTCTTATGAAGAGTTAAATGTTTAGCAAACACATTCACACRAACATTGTCCTGCTTCATGTTAATACTTAAGCTAAGAAAACATAAACGAGCGATTCTGAACCAAGTCTCCCAAGCGGAGCCTTTCTATAGGTCAGAAACTAGCTCTGGCTGCTGTGCAGAGTTCCTGTGAACATGGCCACAGTGCTTGTGCTGAGCTGTGTGAACTGTGTGAAATGCCACCAAGATAAGCTCGTGTGTTGCAAGAAAGCTTTGCTTTGTCTGTGGACGTATCTAGCCTGTCCGTGCTGGTTGGCTTTGGTTATTTCTGAGATGATTATGTTCAGCTTTGAGTATTGAAAGCAGTAAGTCACTCCCCAAGGTTGACTACTGCTCCMTTGTCCCCTCCTTGGTAAGAGTTAATGAACACTGTGTGCCCTGAGACTCTCAAGTTTGACATGTGCCCGCTCTCGAAGAATTTGGATATGGTCAGCAAAGCACCTGTGTGACCATCTCTGGGGGTAAAGGCACGCTACTAGAGGGAGGCTTCAGTGGTGAAAATCATGGTGACTTCTTGGTGAATTTTTTGCTTAATTTGACAAGCTGAGGGATAGTATGTGGGATAATACAATTACTTAAGAGTGTGGGAAATATTTCACTTGTCTAGTTAAGTGTACCCCAAACTACACTCAATATTCCTCAAAGGAAATTGTTCTCARATCTCCCAAGGCCTCTGTTAGGGCCACCTAAGTTAGACTATAATTAAGAGCCCTCATTTTGAGATACAATTAAGAGCTGAGTATTCTCTATARGACACAGATATCTCTCTTCTCACTGGAAAGATAGTTTTTGTTTATGTAGGAGTGGAGCAGCTGCTGAGTTTCCTTAGCTTGTGCCCGTCTGATCTTTGCRTTGGGTTCCCTTGCCCCACTCTACCAAAGCCATTTGTGCTTTGAATGGGGCCTCCGCCTTTAAGAGGATGACACGGACATGAATATATCGGACTAAAACTGAAGAGTAATTCTGTTAGCAAAAACTTCCAGGTTTAGAAAGTATTTCAGTTCAAGTGTTTTTCTACAAAACAGTGTTTGTGGAGGAAAAAATGTTGTGTGTCAATGTTGATTTTTTTTTTTTTTTTTCCTATTAAAATAGTTTTGGTGTTACCTCTTTGTCTCTTGGTACAGCTGTGATGCTTGTAGGTGGGATGTAAAATCAAGTCTTCAGCTGCAGSAGTGGTGAGTGTAATAAAGAAAGGAGGAAGTGATTGACAAGCTCTTAAAAGCAGGGCTTTGTCTTGTGCATGGTTGTTGTAGCTATCATAACTCAGAAAATTCTTGTAAATGTATTGGATTTATCTTCATTGATTATCCAATAAGGAAAAAGGCATTTCCAAGTAAAAATGATTGCTGGTAAAAATGGTGAATGGGATTGTTATGACAAGAGCATGTTAATGACAAGGGGTTGTTAAGACAGGGGTTATAAAGTGAGGTCAGACTAATAAGAGCAGTGGAAAGGAGCRTGTTAAGCAGAAGACTTCCCTAAATACTTAGGACAGCTCTAAGCGGGAGAGAACCAGAGCGTGGCTGTCACGGGGAGACCAAAGCAGCAGCAAGTCAAGTCCAATGAAGATGAAGTCGTGCCCGGTTGGTGAAGGCGACTTGAGGAGGTTTGGAGAGAAGAATTGCTCCTGCTAAAGAAGGAAGTTGCTCTTGATGGAGGGATTGAGTCATGTAAGAAGGAAATCTGCAGTCCCTGTGGTAATTATGCTGGGATGGATATTGCTGAGCAAATGGAGTTTACTGAGTTTTGTAGYTGGCTAGCTGGAAGGAGGGAGGCATGAAATCTGTGTACCCCAATGTCAAATATACTAACTGGGTCAATTTACATCAAGTACAAATTAAAACTGCATGATTTAAGTTCCTTTTTAAGTTCCCTGGTGAGGGAAATCATGCTCTTCATATTTGAGAATGTGTTAAAATATATGAAGGCCCTGTATTTGTACCAAGATGGTATGTATAGATGTTAATAAGACTAAAATCTGAACAATGCAGATCGGATACCTTGTGGATGGTAGTTTAGGATTATTCCGCTAATTGTAATACATCAATTTCTGGGA